GAATGTCAACACTTTCAAGTCAGGGATTGGTTATATGCAGACTTTATTACATGCTTCATTAATTTCACTGTGAAACAATAATTACAGATGCTCGTGACTAATAGACGAAATGGGGTGTTTCAGGTTCAGGGTATGACATGGTTAACGTACATAACTAATTTTGAAATTTCAACATCTAACCTTGAGTCAAAAATGAAATTAATGAATACTAGACTCAGGCTATGCTCCGATAACCATCACATATTTACATTTTTTTTTTTTACTAGTTAAGCTGGCATATATATAGTAAAAAATTCTATTTAACACTGGATATATAGAATAAGTTGAAAAGCAACTCTAACTTTTAAATTATATACTTTACACATAAGTCTCATAATTTGATATACATTTATTTGTTTAATGTATTGACCTGGCATATGTTAAGTGGTATGACTGTTTTTGGCTCTATACTCCATACTTCCTAACAGGCTTAATTCATTGACCGGTAGTTTTTCCCCTTCTGTGTGCTTAGCCACTAAGGTTTAATTTGCCACTCTTTTCCATATTGTCACTTTCTTAAATCTTAATCATGGACCATTTGTTTGCTATAATTGTAATCAGTGAAAGGGGAAAACCAGCCTGGGCTGGCCCAATTGGTAGATATTTTCTCTGTTCCAGCAGAACGGGGTTCATTTCAAAAAAAAAAAAAAAATCTACTTATATGTTTATAACTCAAATTCAAAATCTCATTCTTTTATAAAAAAGGGATTATTATTGAATCCTTATTCCCTACAATTGATTTTTGTTAGAGACTATGTGTGTTAATTAATATACGATAAAAGAGTCATTAATCATATAATCTAATAATAAAATTATCTATATTTTTAATTACAAATCTAAACTTGAATTATCAATTTTTTAGTACTAAAAAGATTGTGATACAGGGAGAATGTTGTAAAAAATATATTAAAAAAAAGGGGGAGAAAATGAAAGAAAGAAACCAGATATTTTCGGTAGCTTTCTCAATCCTGGGTGCCAAAACTGTAGATAAAATATTTTGCCAAAATATCTAGTGCTTTCTAGCTGTTTTGTAAAAATTATTACTAAAGCCATCAAACTACACTGGCTATAAATATTTGATTTGGTTTTGCCTTCTTATCAACATCTTAAGGTCAATATAAACTCCTCAGCCTTGAAGCAAAAAACAGCATCCATATTCAAAGGTATTGAAGAAATGGAAGGAGCAAAGATAGTGGTGGCCGTGGATGAGAGTGAGGAGAGCATGTACGCTCTCTCATGGTGTCTCACCAACCTCTTTCCACACGACAAACACAGTACCCTCGTCCTCCTCTACGTAAAGCCGCCGCCTCCTGTTTATTCCTCCTTTGATGCTGCTGGTAAGCTCCTGCTTTCACTGCCTTCTTTGTCTTCTCACATGGAATGAAATTATTATGTGGTTTAACCTATTTTGCTGCTCTGTTTCTGTGACAGGGTATGTTTTTTCCAGTGATGCACTGGCAGCTCTGGAGAAATATGGAAGTGAAATGGTAAATTCAGTGATGGGAAGAGCCGAAGCTATCTACAAAAATTTCAGCACCAACGTGAGCCTCTGATTATTTTTGTGTAATTCGTTTATTTTCTGTGTCTTTCATCTCTCTCAATGGTTTCTGACGAATTCTTGCAGATAAAGGTTGAGAAAGTAATTGGAAGTGGAGATGCCAAGGATGTAATATGCAGTGCAGTGGAGAAGATCAGAGCAGACACGCTGGTCATGGGAAGTCACGGTTATGGCTTCTTCAAAAGGTAATAGGAAATTCTTAGTGCCTTCAGCTGCTTTGTTCATCTTTGCATTAGTCTGTATGGGATTGCTCTCTAGTGGTTTGGATTGTGTAAAAACGCTGTGAAAACAATCTCATATGCATCCAAAATTACTTGCAAGATGGTCTGAAGAAATTGGTATTTCTCCTCCATTTTTAGGGCTATTCTGGGAAGTGTGAGCGATCATTGTGCGAAGAACGTCAAGTGTCCAGTGGTGATCGTGAAGAATCCAAGGAAGAAATGAAGTTTCTTTATCATCTTTTAAAAACAAGCAATGTTCATACAGATACAAGATAAAGAACAGAGCTCTAATTCTGGATTCCAGTTGTACTATAAAATACAAATGTATAATCGCCTCAAGCTATGGTTAATTTGGTGTATAATATTTACATAAAGAAATTATGAAGGGAATTCTTATCTAGAATGTGTGCTGCTTAAAAGTGGAGATGTTAAATATCCTAGATAGTGACATGTTCATAAAAAGATTCTTCCATTTGTCCAAAGAAATGGGAGTCTTTGGCTTTGTTGGAAGTTTCCAACCTACAAGAGAGGATTATCCTCTCAGCCAAAAAAAGGAAAAAAGGAAAAAAAAGGGTTATCTCTTATTGGATTGGCCAATGGGGAATAAAACAGTGGGGATCCTTTTCATGCTTGAAACATTCCAAACAACAGCTTGGCCACAACCTGAGCAACTAAGAAAACACTAAATATGGATTCTTACGGATATATCAACATGTTCACCAAATTTTTGTGTTTGCCACTAGAGCCAAAACCACATGCCTTGCATTTCAGCAAGAAAACACATCATTCAACATGAATAAGCAAAAGGGAAAAATTTATATACATGCAATGGACATCATGGTGGGGCAGTTCTGGGTCCTGAGCTCCTAATTTTGTAGATGTGATTTTAAGAGCATAAATCACTATCCTGGGCTGGGCCAAGTTGGTCTATCAAAGGGGCCTCAGACCTGAGGGAAAATAGCTACTCTCAAGATAAGGGACTGCTTTTTGATTTTTTATTTTCCTTTCATTTTGGATTCAGCAACCCAAATAAGTTTCAGTTTTAAGGTAGTTTCTAAAACAATCATATAATGCCCAACACAACTTCTAACAAATTAAACCTCACACAGTTGTTAGCCTTCTACTAAATTCCTAAGGACATATGTACTCTTGTAATGCCATTGTCCCAATACATCAATATGAAGCTCACTCTCAACTTTCCTCTCTTGAACCAGTATTACCTTTTAACTAATATGACACGCATAGATAATAGATCAAAACATACACATAAAAATATTCAGAATATCCAAAAGAGCCTACCTACATCATTTTCTTAAAAAACTACTAAATACTAATCCACATAAGCACAATTCATTCCTTAAAAATGAAAACCCACATAAACAAAAGCCAAAATGATCATGTATGACCCAGAGCAAAAGTTTTTGAGAAGGACAATTCAGCAAGATGGACAGCTAAAAAGTAGGGACAAAGGCTCCACTACCCCACAAATGCTGCGAGAGCCAGTAGTTAGTGATTAGTGGGATGTATATATAGTCCAATACTAATGATAGCAACCAAGGTATTACCTTCATCAGGTTTCCCTTTTCAGCTAAATATGCCCTCAATCTTGCTCAAAAAAAGTGAAACAAGATCATGAGCTAGCTTAACCCCAGAAATCAGCTAAATATAAACAAATATTACAACCCATCACAGTTTAAAAACAGAGACAAGCAATGCAGACATAAATGAACTATAATGAACAATCGATCATGAATTGATTTAGCATATCGTCTAAGTCTAACAGAAACAATAAAACAAAACCATGTTCTAAAAAAACCACAGAAGGGCACAAATGTCTACTCCTCCTCAGCTGCAGATCCACCACCATTCTTCACGTTGTGCTTCCTTGCATATCTCTGGTTCCTCAGAAACTTGGGATCCATCTTAAAAAAAGAATATATAGACACAACAAAACCCATTCAGGGAAAGTTGAGAAACAAATGCAAAATAATAAGGTATAAAGGAAGTGATCAAATCAAAAGATACAAACCTTTTGGTAGATGTTTGCCTTTGCCTTTTGGTTTCTTGATCCCATTCTTGTGAACCTTATAAGACTGGTTATGAGCAGTGTGGTTCTTCGATTTCGCCATGGTCGGGCGCTGAGGAGGGAACGTGTTTGGCTCAGTTGACCGAGTTAGGTTTACGAAGCAGTCATATTCAATTGAAGTAAAGAGGAGTAAATTACGGTTAGGTGCCCGTAGCGGCGTAGCTTAAATTGGCTTAGGTCCTTGTAGTTATTTCAAACTACAATAAAAAACCCTTTTCTTTTTCTTTCCTCAATTCCTACCTTTTCAGTATCAAAATAATAGATTTTTTCTTATTTTATCCTTAAATTAAAATTTTGAAAATTTTTTTATTTTTACTTATTTTAACCTTAAAAAAATAAATATAAAAATAAAGAATCTTTTTCATGACAAGAAGAATAAGTAAAAATTAAAAGATAATTATAGGGTTAAAGTAAGAAAAAAATATTTATTTGTTTTAAAATGTGAAAAAAAAATTATTATTCGAGAACAAATTATAAATCATAAAACATCTATTATTTTAGAACAAGGGGAGTATCTCACAAGTCACAAGTATAATGGTAAGGCATTATACTGTTTAGGTGTGTTTGGTTTAACTGATTTTATCAATTTATTGGTTTTTTTTTTCCCCTTAAGTAACTAGTTAGGATTTTTGAAAAAATATTTTTATAGCCTAATTTTAATCTCTTGAGTATAGATATTAGTAATTCTAGTAGTTAATTGTTAATTAATAACTATAGTTATTAGTTGTTTCTAATAACTAAACCAAATAAGACATTCATATTTCTAAGTTTGAGTTCTATTGCATGTACAAGGTAAAGAATCCATTGAATATATGAAGTAAAGATGAAAAATGATAACTTGAATAAAAAGACCAAAGAAGAATAGAAAGAAATCGTAAAGTTCTAGTTAGAATCACTCCTTGTTAGTATCCACATTAGGTAAGGGAGCCAACTAAGCAACGCACTAACAAAGATGAAAATACTACATGTTCACATTACATTTCTCTTAATTGTTCATTAAAGGCAACAATTTTGTAGTAAATAGACTTTTTATTCCATCCAAGTGGGATGGAACTACCCCTTAACCTTAAGGCTTTATTAAGCTAATGCTACTCAATTAGGGTATCATTCACACCCTTGATAAAATTAGGAGATACTTTTTATGGGTTGGGTGCAAGGAAAAGAGGTATTAATTGGATTAGTTGGGAAAGAGTTTGCTCAAGTAAAAAAAAAAGGAGGGTTGGATGTAAGAAACCTTAGACTTTTTAATTTAGCACTCCTTGGGAAATGGTGGGGTAGGAATGCTACTAGAGAGTGTGGGTTGTGGCGTAAGGTGCTAGCAAGTAGATATGGGGAGTTTGGATGCAACTAGGTAAATTGGATGAGGAAGAAAAAAAAAGAGGGCTTTATCTAGTGGAGGGATATTTACAATTTAAAAAACAAAAATGAGGCAAATAACGATTGGTTAATGGAGGGGTTCAAGCTAAAACTAGGTGAAGGAAATGGAGTTAGGTTTTGGCTTGATCATTGGATAGGATCAAGAGTCTTGGCTCATATTTTTCCTAGATTGTATCTATTATCAATAGGTATGGATTACAATGACAAAGAAATAGGCTATTGGCATGATGATACTTGGCAATGGTCCTTACTTTGGAAGAGGCCTCTATGAGATTGTGAAGTTGCACAGGTGGATTCATTAGTTTCTTTACTCCACCAAGTAACTTTGTAGCAAGGAAGAAATGACAAGTGGAAGTGGCAATTTAGTTCTGATGGAAGATACAAGGTTAGATCGAGCTACAATCATCTCCTAAATTCAGGCTCCTTTCCAACAACTAACACTTATAACCAAGTATGGCAAAAGGGCATTCCAAGCAAGGTTGGGACCTTAACATGGAGGCTAATCCAAGATCAGATACCAACCAAGTTAAATCTTTTTCGAAAAGGTATTATCACTAACCCTAATGCCTTGCTTTGTGTTTTTGGATGTGGCAATTTGGAAGACACAAACCACCTATTTTTACATTGTAAAATTGCTCATACTTTATGGTCAAAATGCCTTAAATGATGGGGAATTTCTGGTGTTATGGTTGATACATGTTGGAAAGCTTTTGAGCAACATGGTGACTTATAGACAAAGGCATGGATGGGAGTTAATATGGTTTGTTGTCACATGGACTTTATGGTAAGCTAGAAATGATACCCTATTCAAAAATGCTCATCTAGATAATGAAAAGTTATTTTATTAAATTCAAGCTTGTTCCTACCAATGGTTGCAAGCAGCTAGGGAGTGTGGAGGTATTTCTTTCATAGATTGGATGCCTAAGTTGGCATCTTACATGATGTTTGGGCTAAATAAGAAGGATTCTGAAGGACACAAGGATTAATTATGCTGAAAGCTTCTTTTACATGCAACTAATGTAGATGGGTTGAAGTATGCCTTATACTCCCTAATAAAATTATTTATTGCCATTCAAAAAGATATATAAAAAAAAAAAAGGTTTGTTAGAAAGGTGGGCTTAGTTACAAGTCTATCAGCTAAATTATGGGCATTAAAAGATGGTTTCCATTATTACTGACAAGGAGTACTCTAACCTTATAGCTAGAATTGATTTTGAAATTGCTAAACTCTTATTAGACTCTCATAATGATAAATTTTACTCACTGATGACTTTGATTTTTAATTGTAAGACTTTAATGAAGGGTGTCCCTAGTGTACACCTTATTCATATCTATTAAGAAACCAACACTATTGCTAATTATCTTAATAACTTGGGAAGTTCTATGGCCAGTATTTTGTTGTAACGAAGGATATATAACCCTTGTGAACTTTTTTACTAATTGTTTTGTGATTGTGTGTGTGTGTGTGTGTGTG